GTGTGTTATTTACCAGTGTAATTTCTGGTTCACCCACTGCCGCAATGGTACCTACCGTTGGTGTACATCCGACGTTATTTTGCGGTGGCCTTTCAACCAAGCCACTTAGAGCGCTTGTTAGCCATCTTTCCAGTAGCTCTTTGACCGCTGAGGGTGCTTCCGTGGCTGTAGAATGGAAGCTCCTTTGTGTAAGATCGTCAGACCTTCGGATGGGGAAGGTGAGATCTCCGCACCTGGTGTGATGCTTGGGGTTTCATTCAGGATGCCATCGTCACAGGCCTCGTTGAGAGGGCCTAGGAGATTGGTAGTGACACCCAATATGGCTTTCGATCTTGTGTTGTTTTCGGCCATTTCCTGTTTTTGAGTGGTGTAGAGAGTGGTGGTTGGTTGATCTCTAGGTGGATACTATGGTTTTGATTCTCGAAATCCCCACAGACGGCGCCAAATTGTTTGGCTCAAAAGTTAACGATGTACTTTGTAAGCGATAAAACAATCAAAAAAATAGAGAAGGGGTAAATCGTAATCAAATATAATAAACCTAGAGATGCAAAGATGATAATATTGTTGTAGATCTAGTGTTGCAAAGATGATAATGTATGCTCATAAGATATTTTCGTCAGAAGTAGAGATATAGAGAGAGAAAGACAGAAAAGGAGAGAGTTGTATTAGATCAGCTGCCTCCTTTACAATGTGGAGGTCCCTTTTATATAATAGGAGACCTTCCTCGAACGAATCAAAAAGTTACAGAGATAGGTAACGTCTCCCTAGTGTAGACGCTGAGTTCTAAACGACGTCGCTTTGGTCCTCACGGCCGAGTCGTACCCGCTACATTTAGTCGGCGTACACTCATTGGGCGTACCTACTGGCGTAGAGATACTGAGGGTCAAATTTGACCCTATACAGTTATACTATTCTTATTTATTTTGAAATTAATTAATAGAATATATTGATTTACATAAATTAAATGATAAGGATGTAATAATTATATCTTTGTTTCCTCTAATCTTGGATATTATATCGTTTGAACTTGATGCGGAGTAGTGCTTTTATTAATGAATTGTTTTGTACATAAATATTATAGAGTGAGTGCTTCTTTTTTATGGTTAAAAGGCCGTTCAGCTTTACATAAGGATTTGATCAATCAATTTTGCGTGAATTTAAAAAAGATTATGCTTTCAATATATCTTTTGAAAAATATTATTGTTTGCGTGGCTTAATATTAAATCCTAAAATTATGGATATTGATTACTTTATATGTTTTTATCACAATTCTCGAGATTTATAAACTAACATAAATAACTTAATATAATAAAAATTAGATTCGTTGGAATAAATGGATAAAGAGAAAACTTCGTTAGTGAATTTTGTATTTAGGTGAATTTTGCCACCCGATTTGGTAGAATTGTTGGAAGCACATTTTGGTATTGTAGGCTTTAAGATTTTTTCTATTCATATAGACGTTGAACTTTCTTTTTTGGGAATAAAAGTGACAAATTTATTAATGATCTCAAACTTCTAAATATTAGTAGTTTATTTATAAAAGGAGATTTAGTGCATTTGGTATCATTTCAAATAAGGAATGATTTAATAACCAAAATATAAGTTAATTTTAAAGTCCTAAAAATTAGAAAAATAACTAATTTACTGTTTTATCCAAGTGTACGTACATTGCGCATGTACCTATATCAATGAGTATATAATTTTAAAATAATAAAAAATAATTAAATTATATAATTGAGTTACAAAATAAAAATTTAAACATATAGATAGATTAAGAAAAGAGTCTTGATTTTGAATACAAATTTCATAATCAATTTGAATACGAAAAATATTGTTCACCATTGGTTTTATCAAATTTTTAAGTGACACAACTCTAGTTTGTTCAAAGCTCACTATAAACTAACATCTAAACATTAGTAGAATTAATAAAATAATCTTAATTACTTTTTCTCGCCTAATAATTATACAGGGCTTTTTAAATATACTTTTATATTAACTGTGATTAGTGAACTATTATAGGCATTCAATCTTTGAGCTTGTCACCTATCTCTTAGTCAAACTTTAAGAATAGATTATATCTCTATATTCAAATATCTGGTCTTTGACCAAAATCTTATAGCTCTCTTACTATTAGATATCCCCTCAAGTATTTCTTCATATCAAAGTTCCAAAAGATATGTTCCTTTTTCTTCTCCTTNTGTTCGCTCGGTCATATTTTGAGTTGGGGAGCTCGGATTTGGGCGATTTTGGAGGCGATTTTCATCATATGGATTGGGGTAAGTGTTCTCTACTCGATTTTGGTTATATTTTATGAATCTATCTTCGTTTTTGCGATTTGATTGATGATTTCAAAGTGAAATTGAGGGAGTTAGGGCTTGAGTTTTGGAGAGTTTTAAGTGAGGATTTGAGGGACCAAACGGAGTCCGATTTTGATAAATTTTATATGGTTAGAATCGAGAGAGGACGAGGATTATTATTCTGCCATTTTTGACTGATTCCAAGACGTGGGCCGGGGGGCCGAGTTTTGGCCGATTTCGGATTAGAACTGGATATAAGTTGAATAAAGAGAGTTTTAGAGAGTTTGGAGAGTTATGGAGTATGAATGGAGAAGGTTGATGCGTATAAGTAAAGGTTTAGGCGGCTAAATTCGTGGCCATGATTACCTCGATAACCGGCAAAAGTTATGCTAAATCGTGGGATGACACGTGTTCGGGACATTAAATGCGGAGAGACATACGTCTAATCAACCGTCAGAAGTTTTTCTGAAGGAATCATAGTAACTCCTGCCAAAAAGAGCGTTTCTACTACGGTGACACAAAGTTATGTCACAAAAAAGCAGGGGGACTATCTGTATAGGATAAAATATGTTATGCTAAGTAGCCGCTTAAGAGAGTGAAACGTGGAACCTAAGGCGGAGATAGTTAAAACCGAAAGCAATTATCCCGTTTGTCACCGTAAAGAATGACACTCGAAAAGATGTATTAAATATCCTCCGCCCGGTGGCATTTAATAGAGAATATTCCACAGCATTTAGTGCAATGCCCGTTACAGAGAACTTGTCATTTATGCTCACCGTTACACCTTCATCAATGGCCCTCATAATTGACACTAAAGAAGGGCATGATCCTAGGACTTTGTTCCCTAGGTGCAGCTATAAATAGTGAGCTCTGTTATCATTGTAAAAGAGAAATTTTCTGGAAAATTTATGATATAATCTATTCAAAGCTCTATACAGTTTTATCTTCTTACTTTTTGGTTTTATTATTGTTGTGCCTGGAGGCCTCGCTCCCGGAATTACTATTTCTGCTATTTCGTTTTAATATCAAGGCTAAGTGTTACATATTTCTTCAATTCTTTTATTATTTCATGATCGAATTAATTCACTTGTCTAGAAACTACGTATAAATTCAACTGTACCGTTTTACGGGTAAACAAGTATAACTTAAATAGTAACCTCAAAACTGGGTATACATACAAATCCCCCTATTAAAAAAGTTACTTTCTTTTATATGATAAATTTGGAATTTTGAAGTAAGAAATAAGTGGGGGAAAAAAAAAAGAACTATTTGATGAGATAGTGTGAGGTTACATAATTCCATCGAAATATCACTAAATGGAAAATAAAATCCTGAATTTGGAATTCTTGGCGGAAAATTATAGATCAACTTCTTTCTTTTGAAAAGTCAGGCCAGGCATGACTAAGGTAAGCTCCATAAGTGCAAAATTTTATGACTATTTATTACGATCAGAAATCCCTTCGTTGACGTCAGTTTCAGGAGACCTTAATAACTATAACAAATCTAACTAAAATTTACAATATAATAATTGAATGTGCTCAGCTGGGCGGAGCTAGTAGCCCGCTATCGGTTCAGCGAACCAATATTTTTTGCTTAAATAGTATATTGTTGTAATAAATTTATTAAATATACTAATATTATTTAAAATTCAATCATAAACACTTGAACTTGTCGTTTTAAAATTCAGAACCATAAAATTAAAAATTCTGACTCCACTTTTGATTCTCGGCCTAGTTGTTCCTAATGTCTTTTTAAGAATCACTATCAATAATGTCGAAACTTAAGTAGAGGGAATGGCGGCAATGGGGCGAGGCGGGGCGGGGCGGGGCGGGGCGGGTTTAGCCCAACCCACAAAGACTTCAACCCGCACCGCCCCGCACCGTATAGCAAAATCTTTTGTTTTCAACCCGCCCCGCATAAACCCGCCCCGCCCCCCAAAGCAAATTTTTTCCGTTTTAATTTTTAATGAGTAGTTTTTCTTTGATTTTTTTATTTGTTTTAAATATGGCCTTCTTTTCTCTTTTCCTTGGGCGTTAGTGGTCCTAATTTGTCTGAACTTCTTATTAACACTAAATTGTATTTCTTATAATGTAGAAACAAAGATAATCATTTATACAATATTAGCAGCATTTTAGTACGAAGATCACAACACCGAACAAGAGAAATTAAAAAAAAAAATGCTTTGCAAGTTGCAGCTGAAAAGTAAAAGCAGAAAAATAGAAGTAAGAGGAATGGCAGTTTGGATGAAACCCGCGAGGAAACCCGCCGAAATCCGTAGCCGCCCCGCCCCGCCCCGCCTTAGATTTTTCAAAAACAAATCCACCCCGCCCCACATAAGATCAAACTCGCCCCACCTCGCTTCCACACCGTTCCATTGCCATCCCTAGGAATGGGGTTCAACTGAATTTTCTTTTATCGAAAATTTATGTTATGCAAATAAAGTAACATAAACTTTTTTGGTTATGTGTAAACTGAATCCCCTTGGGATGAAGATCTTTTTTTTTTTTTTGGGTCAACATGTCAAATCTCCACTATAATATACTATTTTTTTTTAAAATTTTCTTATATAAAGTCTTGACTCCGCCACTATATATCAGTAATATAGTTCATCAGGCGATAATATTTAATCCACATTATAGAGGAACAAATATGTATACGGTCGAAACCGGGTTCATTCATTGTTTGACCAATCAAGACTGAAACATGCAGGTCAAAGCTCAAGCTCGGGTTATATCGAACCAAGGCACAAAATTAGATCAACGAGCTCGTGACCCAAAGACCGAGCAAGAACGAGACCGAGCAAGATCGAGAACAAGCAAGATCGAGAGAAAATTACCGAGCCAAATAACAAAAAGCCGAAATATCCGCAATCGGCCGAGGATCACGGCGAAAATCTCGGTACGTATCAAGAAGAGACCGATTAATTAGCAAATCATGAGATCCTTTACCTTGTATAGATTGTACTAAAAGTAGAACACACCCACTATATAAAGGGGGTTCTGATCATTTGTAAGGGACATTGTAACACGCAAAAAGAAAGCAATATACTGATCGTTTCTAGTTCTTATCATCTTGTTGTTCAATTCTAAACTAGTTGAGACATTTCTTGACACGAGGGTGATCAAACTCAGAGGCTAAGGCTGTTCAATTTTGTGGTTTGCATTTATTTTATTATCGTCAATTTCAGTATTAGTCTATGTTCTTAATCTGTATAAAGTTATATTACGTACCCCTAAAATCGCGTACAAATTTAATTGTTATCCAATTTTAAGGGTAAACAAAATACAATCTCAAACAACAAAATTGAATCATACCAAGTCTCTAATCTTCCCTCTGTATTGTGTCTTATTCAGTTAAGTGAAGAAAATAAATGCAGTGGAACAAAAAGTTAGTATGTCAATCTCTCTTTCCCTTATTTGGTTATTTAAGAAATTAACTCATCAATGTGCTTAAAATCTCAAATACCCAACTTAGAGATAGGAGTAGTGATATCACATCATTTGCCCTATCTAATTATCATCAATCATGTCTATCGTCTATGTCATGAGTGGTAGTCCAATTTGTAGGTGAAAACATAGACTCCACTATAATCTTTAATCAAACATTAACAATAATCCTGGTCGGTGACCACATTAAATAGTTATCAAGTTTTTTTGGAGAATCCTTTTCTTTTTTAATCCTTTGTTGAGAGGTGGGAGGAAAAGGAAAGGAAGGATCTAGGTGAAAACTGCTTTTCTTTTTTGCACCAACACGTTTAATTTATCTTATGGGTGGGGCATTTGCACTTTTGTGGTGTTCAACTACAAAATAATGTCATCATTAGCTATAAAAAGCTGCATTATTTAAAAACTCCAACAACTACTATTTTATACACTAAAATATTCACAAGATAGATTGTCATATTTAAAAAATAAAAATAAAAATCCCTGCATGACCTATACAAAAAGTAAAATAAAAAGTCAATACCTCAAAATCCCCCTAAACCATACCGATTTTGCGAGTTTCATGCTTAAATTATGGGAGAGTTTTCACTATTCCCTAAACTACTCCCTCTGTTCACTGTACTAAAAATATATTTTTAATTTTACTTATAAATTATGAGATCAACATAGCTTGTGTCCAGGAGACTAGATGGGTGGATTCGAAGGCTCGAGATGCTAATGGGTTTAAGTTGTGGGTCTCAGGATGTGAGAGGGGTAAGAATGGGGTAGGTATCTTGGTTGATAGGGATCTTAGGGAACTAGTGGTAGAAGTTAGGAGGGTGAACGACAGGTTGATGGCTATTAAGCTGGCTATGGGAGGGTCTACTTTAAATGTGATTAGTGCTTACGCGCCTCAAGTTGGTTTGGACGAGGAGATTAAGAGGCGCTTCTGGGAAGAATTTGACGGGTTGGTATGTGGCATTCTACTCACCGAGAAGTTATTCATAGGAGGTAACTTCAATGGTCACATTGGGACGACATTTGGGGGGTATGACAGTGTGCATGGCGGCTTTGGCTTTGGAGTTAGGAACGAAAGAGGTATTGCGTTATTGGACTGTGCTAAAGCCTTTGATTTGGTGATTGCCAACTCGTGTTTTCCAAAAAGGGAGGAGCACTTGGCTACATTCCAGAGTTCGTTAGACAAGACTAAAATTGATTATTTACTCCTCCGGAAGTGCGATAGGAGTCTGTGCATGGATTGCAAGGTTATACACATCGAGAATCTCACGACTCAGCATAGATTATTGGTGATGGACTTAAAGATCGTGAGGAAGAGGAGGAAGAGGGTCGTGTATGGTCAACCCAAGATCAGGTGGTGTACTTTGACTAGTGACAAAGCGTAGGAGTTGGGGGGGGGGGGGGGAAGTTGTTGGCTATGGGAGCCTGGAGGAGTAGTGGGGACGTGAGCTGTATATGGACCACGACAACGTTGTGTATTAGAGTACCTGCGAGAGAAGTGTTAGGGGTCTCAAAGGGTGTCTCTAGCGACCACAAAGGTGACTGGTGGTAGAGTAAGGAGGTACAAGAGAAAGTGGAAGCCAAGCAAGTGGCATACTTGACTCTTATAGAGAGCATGGACGAGGAGGCGAAGAGGATGAACAAGGAGGGGTATAGGAGGGCTACGAAGGAGGCAATGTTAGCGGTTACTGCGGCTAAGACTACGGCAGTTGGGCATTTATATGAAGAGCTTGGGGCCAAAGGCGGGGACAAAAAGCTATACAGGCTAGCCAAGGTGAGAGAGAAGAAAGCCCGTGATCTGGATCAAGTTAAGTGTATCAAAGATGAGGAAGGTAGAGTTTTGATGGAAGAGGCTCATATTAGACGAAGATGGAAGACATATTTTCATAAACTCCTACACGAAGAGGGTTAAAGGGACATTGTGTTGGGAGACATGGAGCACTCCGAGGTGTGCAAGGATTTCGGGTATTGTAGGAACATAAGAGTAGAGGAGGTCGAAGGGGCTATGCGTAAGATGCACAGGGGTAGAGCTACCAGGCGAGATAAAATACCTATGGATTTTTGGAAGAATGCGGGTAGGGAAAGTTTGGAATGGCTCACTAGGCTGTTCAACGTCATTTTTAGGACAAAGAAGATACCTGATGAATGGAGGTGGAGTACGATGATTCTTCTGTATAAAAATAAGGGCGATATCCAAAGTTGCAATAATTATAGAGGGATTAAGCTGCTAAGCCATACTGTGAAAGTTTGGGAGAGGGTGGTTGAATTTAGGGTGAGGACCAGTGTATCCATCTCTGAGAACCAGTTCGATTTCATGCCAAAGCGTTCGACTATGGAAGTCATTCACATTGTGAGGAGATTGGTGGAGCGGAATAGGGAGATAAAGAAGGACTTGCACATGATGTTCATTGACGACCTAAAGAAAGTATATGACAAAGTCACGAGAGAGGTGCTGGAAATGCTTGGAGGCTAAAGAGGTCCCAGTAGCATACATTAGGGTGATTAAGGACATGTATGATGAAACTAAGACTCGGGTTAGGGTAGCAGAAGGAGACTTGGAGCATTTTCCGATTATGATGGGGTTGCACCAGGGATAATCTCTTAGTCTATTCCTATTTTCCTTGGCGATGGATGCATTGATGAGACACATTCAAGGTGAGGTGCCATGATGTATGTTATTTGCGGATGACATAGTTTTACTTGACGAGACGTGGGTGGTGTTAACGAGAGGCTGGAGGTTTGGAGGCAGACCCTAGATCTAAGGGTTTCAAGTTGAGCAGGAACAAGACGGAATACATGGAGTGCAAGTTCAGCAATGGTACCCGGGAAGGGGATATGGAGGTGAGGCTTGATACGCAAGTCATCCCCAAGAGAGGTAGTTTCAAGTATCTTGGATATATAATACAAGGTAACAGAGAGATTGATGAAGATGTCATGCATCGTATCGAAGCAGGATGGATAAAGTGGAGGCTCTCTTCCGGTGTCTTATATGATAAGAATGTGCCGCTGAGACTTAAAGGTATGTTCTACAAGGTTGTTGTTAGACCGACTATGTTGTATTGAGCAGAGTGTCGGCCGGTCAAGAACTTTCATACCTAGAAACTAAAAGTAGCTGAGATGAGGATGTTGAGGTGGATGTGTGGGCATTACCCGATTGGATAGGATTAGGAAGGAAGTTATTCGGGAAAAGGTGGAAGTGGCCCCTGTGGAGGATAAAATGCGGGAGGCGAGGTTGAGATGGTTCGGGCATGTTAAGAGGAGAAGTATATATAGAAGCCCCAATTAGAATGTGTGAGTGGTTAGCCTTCGCGGGAAGCAGGAGGGGTAGAGGTAGGCCTAAGAAGTCTTGGGGAGAAGTTATTAGGCGGGACATGGCGCAGCTGGAGCTGACTGAGGACATGGCCCTAGACAGGAGGGTGTGGAGGTCAAAGATTAGGGTAGAAGGTTCGTAGGTAGTCGAGCATTTCTCTTTGTCTTACTCGGCTCGCTAGCATTAGTGTTAGTATGATATCTTTTATTCATAGATGGCTATAACTACCTAGAGTTTGACAGCATTCTTGGATTCGATCTTGTTTCATCTTGTTGTTATTCCTACTTGTTGCAATTACCTTTTCTTTTTTAGTCGTTCTCTAGCTGAAGATCTATCGGAAACAGCCTCTCTGCCCTTCCAGGGATGGAGGTAAGGCTGCGTACATCTTACCCTCCCCAGACCTCACTTGTGAGAAAATACTGGGTTTGTTGTAGTTGTTATTTGTTATTATAAATTTTAGCAAACCAAGAGTAGACCATATTTTTTCTGTTTTACCCTTATACTAAATAATTACTCATTTCATAAATATTTATTATGACTTCTTAAAATAATATCATTATTATGGATATTATGGTAAAATACACTCTTCATTTATTGATTTTTAAAAAGCACACAAAATTCATGATAAAATACCCCTGGAGTGCACGTGGCGGAAAAAGTAGTTAAAATCTCTAAGCGGGAGCTTAAAGTTTTGTCCACGTGGAATGTCCAATAACTAATTAGTCTAGAAAAATATTTTTTCCTAGTTTCTTATTACTAATTGTACTTTTTTATAAATTCCTTGGTTCTATTTTCTTTTCTCTCCTCTTCTAATTTTCTTCTTCTTCATCTTCTTTTTCGACGAATTCGTCTACCTTCTTCATCCTCCCTTTTAACCCAAACTCAACTGGATGTTAGAAATTACAGATATCATCTTACACTTTTTCATCCATTTCTGCTTCCATTTTTCCTAATTATTGTAAGAATACTTTCTTCAGTACGTTTGCAACAGAAAAAAGATTTTTAAAAAAAAAAACAATAAACAAACCTATGAAATAGTGAGAATAAAAAAAAGGCAGCCCGGCGTACTAAGCTCTCGTCATGCGTGGAATTCGGGGAAGGACCGGACCACAAGGGTCTATTGTACGCAGTCTTACCCTATATTTCTGCAAGAAGCTATTTCCACGTAATACCTATGAAATCACGTAATACCTCATATTCCTTCCGGATATATTTTATTATGGGTTCATAGTAGTTCAAGGGCTTATAGAAATCTCCATAGTGTAAGTGTGAAACTCGTAAAACCAGTATATATAATTTAACTTCTTTAATGACGGTCAAGTGGAGGAAGATATATTCCAATAGTGATCTTCCTTTCCCAAATTAAGTTACTACAGATTTTTACATTACAAAGTTGAGATTAGTCAAAATCATTCCTCACTTTAGGAAAGGCAAATCATAGTGCACAGTGGGGTTAGATAAATCATGCAATTTGACTCCTTAATGACAACCAAAGTTCACTTCACTTAAATAAAATGATTTATACCATCTACCATGTGAAGCTTCATATTTCAAAAATGGGTAAAAAGCCAGTTTGAGACATGAAAATTAAACACTTGGACGTTCGTCAATCATTCTGAGCTGGATTATTTGCTGCCCTTAGATAAAAATAAATCTACAACTATGAGTTGGGTCATCCATACCAGGGAATTATTGGAAAGGCAGAAAATGGCAATGACTGCCTTTTAATTTATTCATTTCATTATCTTTACTAATGTTAATGTATTATAGTTTGGTTGGATAGGAGTGTATCTAACTGCAATTAGATAGAGAGCAGGAGTCTTTTTTGTTATTTCATTGAAGAGTTTGTTTATGACTTGTACTTTGTATCATTCTTATAAATAGCAATACAACAAAGCGCAAAGATGCGAAGGTTATTTCTCAACATGGTATCAGATAGCCTTCAAGATCCCCTCTGAGTTTTATCTGGCTGATCACTTCCTTTGTCTCTTTATTCTCCATATTCATTCTGTGGGGTCCAGCCCCATGTGTGAAAATTTAAATTGAGAATTGTGTCTTCTTTGAATGTAGAAAAAATGGAAGACACAATTTTCTTGTGTTTATACTATAGTGAGGTCATTGATCACATCACGTGAGTAATTTATCTGCTATAAATAGCACGATTTTGTTTCAGTTGAAGACACACCAACAAAAGAGAGAAAGAAAGAGTGAGGCTTCACACACAGGGTATAAGAAAATAGTCTGTGAGAAAAATAGAGAGTGAGCGGTATTGTAGTGAGGTGGGAATATCAAAAGAGGGTTATTTCTTTTGAGTGTTGTAGTAGTCTTTGGAGTATTTTACTCGAACCTACAAAGTGTAAAATTCCTTGTTATAGTGATATCGATTGCTCCTCTCGGGGCCGTCGTTTTTTCCTTTATTCAAAAGGGTTTTCCACATAAAATTTTGGTGTCGTTGTTACTCTTTTATTCTTGTTAATTACCGTATCTCGGTGCTACGTTATTATTGCGCTTTTATTACCGTGAATATTATTTCTGTAGGGAATTTATTCCCAACAACTGGTATCAGAGCACAGGTTATGCTCGTTCACATAAATACTATTCACTATCGGTAGTACTATACTCGGTAAAAAATAAAAATGCCCGGATTAAAGTACGAGGTAGCAAAATTCAACGGAGATAATGGTTTCTCAACATGGCAAAGAAGGATGAGGGATCTGCTCATCCAACAAGAATTACACAAGGTACTATATGCTGATGCTAAAAAGCCTGATACCATGAAAGCTGAGGATTGGGCTGATTTGGATGAAAGGGCTGCTAGTGCAATCAGATTGCACTTATCAGATGATGTGTTAAATAACATCATTGATGAAGACACCGCACGTGGCATTTGGACAAGGTTGGAAAGCCTATACATGTCCAAAACGCTGACAAATATATTGTAACTGAAGAAGCAGTTATACGCCCTACACATGGGTGAAGGTACGAATTTTTTGTCACATTTAAATGTGTTTAACGGACTAATCACACAGCTCGCCAACCTCGGAGTAAAACTCTAGGAAGAAGATAAAGCGATCT